GGTACACTGAATACAAAAATACATCTGGCTTTCAGAGAATATCTTTATTCTCAGGATTCCTCATTAATAGTCCTCATTCATCACTTACTTCTCAACGGACCGAGTCTGCGTATACCTCTTGGAAGCCGAGTAGAGAGCACCCTATTCGGTGCCTCATTTTACTCCAAATTACTCAACCAACTGTCCCTTGATGGCTGTACCCCAAACGGTCACTCAATTGCTTGTTTGCGTTCCACCGAAGTTTCCGCATCATTGATCTTGTCAGTATAGGAAACGTCCGAAAGCTTACTTCGCCGGCTGCTAACTTTCCCACTGTCCGACTTCAAAACTGATCAGCGGGCCGCATATCTCACTTACTACGATCATGGAACCAGTAAGGCGGCTTTTGCTGCGGAGTTAATTATCGGAAAACCTTAGCTGACCAGTTACAGACTGTTGGACAGGGAAGTAAAACTATCATGTATCTTGTTCATAAAAACTGAATACCTTTTTCTTGAACTCGTCTTTCTGATTTTTAGTGGATACTCATTGACTGCCACTCAAATCTAAACGAATGCTACAAAGCAGTAAAACTAATTCCGTAATAAATCTCACTTTTTGATAAACGCGAAGCGGATTTGTGGGAAAACCGCACACTCCTTGCATGTTTTTTTCAGTAGCATCCACCGTTGAAAAATTCCCTTATAAAGGTCGTACACATGCCACCGATTTTCATGTATCTCCGTTCAGTCGGCCACAGCAGTTGGTCTATTCGGCTGCTCTTTGAGTGTGTCGTGCCACTCACGAAATTGAGTCCAATTTACTCTTTTCGCTCCCCGACCGTCTTGAATTGTATGGACCTTCCCCTAGTGGTCGGTAACGACAAACGAATCTTGCCATCAACTTCCCAGCCGTTGAGACTCCAATCCACTCCTTCCAGGATTCAGATGATCCCTCCACTTGACTTTCGTGCCTATGGTGAATGGTCGAACCTTTCTACTTGGCGCTATCTGCTTCGTCCCTTCCTCAACGGCAGGTCAAGATTTCTCGAGCTTTCCTCCCTTCCTCCTCTAGCTCCTCCGGAGACAATCGTCTGGCTGGCACAACCCGATTTCTTAATCAATTGAAGGCCGCGGATGTCGGCCGTACATTGGCTTAACCGAGGACTTGTCTGTGGTTGACTGTATGGCAGCACGATGGGCCAGCAGCACCATCGACAGGTAACTTTTCAGTCGAATACTTTAGCTGACATCCACTCCTTGTTCGTTCAGTTGCTATGTTCATTAGACCATTTGTTTGCGGGTAGTATGTTGCATCCCTCAATCATATGCTGCCCAGCTTGTGCAAGCGATTCCTGAGCTCTTCGCTCTCAAAGCGAGGCACCTGAATGGTTGGGATCATTTTTGACACCCCATGGTTGGCCACAATGTGATGCATTACCACTCCGCTGATCGTCGTCGCCCGCTGATTCGGCACGGCTGCCGCCTCAATCCATCGCGACAGGTGTTCTGTCATCATCACGATGTATTGGTTCCCACTGGTTGTCACCGGAAAGGGGCCCATGATGTCAACTCACCACAACTCGCCGATTTCTGAGAGAGGAATAAGTTCCATGGGATGGGTCGCCCCTGCCTTATCCGCTTTCATTAGTTGACAATGCTTACAGGACACCACATAATCCATCACCTCACTTCTCATCCCGGGCCAGTAGGCCCTCTGCCGAAGTAGGTCGTATGACCTGGTGCACCCTATATGTGCCATCTCATGGCATTCAACGATGAGATTCCGTCTCAAGACGCGAGGTATCACGGGCAGCACAACATCTGAATCAGTGGCGTTCCAGGAAATTATGCCAGCTTCATTCAGCCTTAGCCGATCAAAGCGACCCTGGAACGCTTCTAATTCCTTGTCTTCCTCTCCGTTCTCAATGTTCCTTCCATCCAACAAGGCGGCTGCAACCTTTTGTGACACGGGATCATGCCGTTGAAATTGCACCAACTTTCCTGAATCAAGTTCGACGACGAGACCACCGGCTCCAATCATGATCTCGGGGACCTCATCTTCAGCCTCTGGTATTGACAGTGAATCAGCCAAGTGGTACTCCTTCCCTGGCACGTGCTGGATTGTGAAGTCGTACTCTCACAGAGTACCCAGCGAGCGAGCTTTCCGCGAGGATCTCTGGTGGTCATGATCCACTCAAGGGGTTTGTGATTGGTTTTGACATGAAATCTTCGTCCGGGCAGATATGGCCTCCACTTGTCCAGCGCCATACAAGCGCTAAGTTTTCGTTCTCAACGGTCGGGCACTTTTGTTCAGCGTTAGTCAGGACACAACTGGCACATTCGATAACTCCATTCCTCTGCTATAGGACGGCCCCGATACCGCAATCATTAGCGTCCGTTGCAACAGTGAACATCTCTCCGGTTTGGGGGTTAGTTGCTGATCCATCATCTGCGCTTTGACATGCTCCTAAGTTTTATGTGCTTCCCTGGTCCACTTGAGTATCCGATTTTGCCCGAGCAAGTTGCACATTGAAGTATCGATCCTGTTGAGATCCTTGGCAAACCGGCTGTAGTATGCTGCTCGCCGAAGAACCTGTCGTAGAGACCACTTTGAATTGGAAGCAGCACAGTCCTTGATCTTTGCCAATTTCCCTGGTAGGGGGCTAAACTCTCCAGTACTTTTGCAAGCGGCGCGTTCAGAAGTACCACCCTATCGACCACGGCAAACATTTAGTTGCCATGCCGGATTACTACCTCGTGTTCCAGGAGCATCAAACAGCTGCTTTAGGAACTTAGAATGTTGTCCAATTGGATGGATATTACATGTATCTCATGATAGAAATTTGGACCATATATCAGAATATACTGGACATAGAGGAGGTCTTTCTTGCGCTAGGCGGCCAAGACAGTGTCTGAACCGCAGTCATGTCTCTTCATCGGACTGGATAAGGTATATCGTGATTGCTTTCTGTGCAAAAGCTTACTGCGTCCTGTCTAATGAGGTACAGCAGCTTAAGCACCAATAATTGTGTCCAGAAAAACCTGTCCTCTGTCGGCACGCAGAAGGCCAAAAGAACATCACTCCTCAGGCAATAAAATGTTTAGTATTCCAAAATAAAGTTTGAAGATTATTATAAACATGCTGAAATCTTCTCCCCGCCTCGCTGTTTCTTTAGACGGATGTGTGACAAACGGAGGAACATGCAGCTAACAGGAATTTAAGGACCCCTCGAGAATGACTTTCCAAGCAATCGTTACTCTTCGAATGGGAAAAGTTTCCAACAAACAGAGGGGGTTTCGTTAGGCCAAGTGGGCAGGTTACCGAGCTGGCCGGGTTTTATGGATATCGGAGAAGAAATAAGAGGGAACACCCCTGATCCAGATCAGAGAGGTTCTAGATCAGTATTGAATGTCGGTTTAAGTTACTGGTCGTTTGGTATGACTGCCCAAGCGTTACGGTTGGTGGTTTTGGGCCAAAACTAAAGACCAGCGTAATCTGCATCAGTTTTTCGAGGCTGTTCTGAATAATTTTCCTCAATTCCGGCGCGAATACGACTTTATAATTCGAGTTATCTTGCTTCGGCGCTCAGTATTCGCAAAATGGAATAGAACTTTGGGAGCAGTGACGTGTCCCTGATGGACTAAACTAATCGGCAATTGAGTTAAGAGCACCAGTCCGAATTTAGGCATCTCGGGGTCTCAGCCATGCTAGGGGATTATTCCACCAGAATTCAGCCAGATTTATGGTTGCTCCGGTGGACAATGAGACTTGGTGAGCTGCAAGAATATCAAGGTTGACCAGAATGGGTTTTGGTTTGAGCAAGAAAATGCAAAATTTTGGCACAAGTTTCAATTCAGTCATAAAGGTTTAGCGGTTGTTGATCAGGTGGCTGTTGATCTGTTCGCCGAGCTTGGCAATTGGCTTGCAAACGTTTCGTCACCATACGAGGAGACATCATCAGTGCGCAGTTGAGTGGTTGGCGGTTAAGAGTGTTGTGCGGCTAATGGGCTACCTTGCTTCTGGTACTGCTTCAGAAATATTTGCCGAGAAGTTGACGGCTGTTTGGTTCCTATACTTAATGGCTTTTGTGAAAGGGCTAAGTGAATACCTGAGGGATATTTGTGTGGCATCTGTGCGTGCATGGGGTAATAGAATCACCAGCGCTATTTTGCGACATTTAGGAATTGACTCACCTGTTGACTTTATATACATACATATATACATACATATACACAAACTTGCTCACATATATATACATACATATTATACATGAATATATATACCGCAAACAACTTGGCAATTCCATTAGGATGGCTTTTGAATGCCCGTTATGTTTTACCATTTGCAAAGAAGCACTCCGCCACTGGTAAACAGGATCTGAATACTGTTACTGCTATCTGCTTTCTGAGTTTGAGTCATGCGTGCCAATCCAGGGAAACGAACAAGAAATCCGATTTCTGGAATCACGGTACTATTGCAAATATAATACTATACATATTCAACTAACCTCAACGGATTCTCCTCTGCAGATACCGTAGGGTTACAAGAATAAGGCGGTACAATTACCCATCTGTGGATAAAGCGCAGATCACTACGCCTCAAAATCTATATCGTCACAACCAAACAGATATCGACGGCGAGCAACCGCAAAATCACAATGTCCGACCAAAGTCCGTAAGAGTTACAAAAATAGTTCAGTAAAACAAGAAGGTTTCAGTTCAGCTGGTCAAGGAGAATAAATATGGAGATTGTCTTTCACTTGGGGTTGGAAACGGGAGCACACTGTGTTCTACACCGTCACCAAAATCCCAGTGAATTTTCCTCCATCAAGCTACGGTCGTTCCTGGCTCAAATCGTCGTTTATTTACCCCAAGTTTTGAGTGGACTTACGGCAGTACGCCAAACGGAACTTGCTCATCCGCCAACTCCCACTGGTGTCTCCGTATGCGATGAGTTCGAAAACCCATCTCCCACCAGCGGAGAGTTGAGCGCGAAGTTCCCGTCTCCCTCCACCACCCCTACTCATAACTCTCTATCAAACCGATCTTACGCACATCCCTCCTAAGCCTATCAATCATTGTGCGTACAACTACGGTCTTAACTAAACCGTCATCTGATGTTTCACATTCATCAACCACGCCTCCGGGCCACTGTTCACGAGAGGACGCACCTGATTGCACCAGGACTACATCCCCTTTCCTGAAGTTCCTTTGAGGTTTCTGCCACTTAGTTCGTGCTTGCAGCAGAGGTACGTATTCCTTCACCCAGTGCTTCCAAAATACTCGAGTCAAGTAGTTCACTTTCTGCCAGCCTCTCGTATACCTCTCTTGCAGCAGAGGTATGTATTCCTTCACCCAGTGCTTCCAAAATACTCGAGTCAAGTAGTTCACTTTCTGCCAGCCTCTCGTATACCTCTCTGTCATACTTTCCGGCACAACTCCGTGTACCCTGTTGTTGAGAATGAGTAAGTCATTCGGTGTCAAGCCCGGCTTGTCGAAATAGTTGGTTTGATTGTGCACAATAGGGCGTCCATTCATT